AAAATCGCGCGTCCTTATTAGGGTTTTTGACTGTACAATATTCGCGCCCCCAAGGCCGTAAGCCCTCGCACATTACACCGTGCCTGCGTCCACGAGGCCACAAACCCTTGCAGATTACATCGCACTGGCGTCCCCGAGGCCTTAAACCATGGTAAATTATACAATAATTGCGCCCCCGAGGCCAAAAACCCATGTAAATTATACCATCATGTTCGCGTCCCCGAGGCCACAAACCCTTGCAGATCATAAGATTCGCGTCCCCGAAGCCATAAGCCCTCGTACAACATTACATTATATTTGAGTCCCCGAAGCGATAAACCCTAACACATGATACAATCTCCGCGTCGCCGAAACTATGAACCATAGCATTTCACAAGATTCGCGCGTTCGAAGCCATAAACCCTTCAAAATAACACCAGATTCACGTCCCAAGGGCCATAAACCTTTCAACATTACACCATGCTTGCGTCCCCGAGGCAGCAAATCCTTGCAAATTACATAAGGTTCGCGTCCCCGAGGCCATACACCCTGGTAAAGTATACAATATTTGCGCCCCCGAGGCCATACACCCATGTAAATTGCACCATTCTTGCGTCCCCGAGGCCACAAACCCTTGCAAATCATATAATATTCGCATCCCCGAGGCGATATACCCTCGTAAATTACGCGCCATTCGCGTCTCCGAAGCCATCATCCCTCGTAGATTAATATATTGGCCCTCGAGTGAAGTCCCAACATTGCTTCACGTCAGCGTCCAGACATCCCAACACAGTTCTGGCAAATCCCATTCTAAGAGAGGGGGCCGGCGGCATGGGGGCGAAGCCATTACGGATAGATTTATTGACGGACCGCATGAAATACGCAACGGATGAATGAATTTGGCATGGGATGATTTAAACACTGGATGAAGTTTGGGGAAATTGAGTCAGGCATCGGATGAGTCAATTTCCCGGGCTCTTCTCGTAGGGTTTTTTTGGGGCATCCTGGGGCAAATGGGGGTTGAGAGTTTGCTTGACTACAAAACGGTTTGTAGTAAAGCAAATCTTGAGTCACTTTGAGTTATTATAGGATGTTTTTGAAGCCGATGTTGGGGGTCGCTGCCTCCCGAGTGTTCTGGAGGGGTTTTTGGGTGCATCATGGGGCAGAAAGGAAGTGATAATTTGCTTGACTACAAAACGGTTTGTAGTGAAGCAAATTTTGAATTCCTTTCGAATTACTATTTGACGTTTTCAAGCATCTCGGAAGAGTAAAGGTGCCAAATGAGTTTGGGCAGCGGATGAGTTAGACCACCGGATGTGGTAGGAAACCAAATGATCTAGGGCACTGGATGAAGTAATCGCCGGATGAGTTTCACACCGCATGAGTTAAACCACCGAATGAGTTAGGGCATCGGATAACTGCGGCGCCGGATGATGTAGGGCATCGGGTAAATTAGTCACCGGATGAGTTAGGCAACGGATGAGTTAGTGCATCGGGTGAGTCAATCTCCGGACAGGCCTGGTTAACTTGGCGCAGGGCGCCGGATGAATTTGGCACCAGAGGAGTTAGGGCTCTGGATGAGTTTGGCACCCCGATGAGTTAGGCACTGGATGCTGGATGGGTTAGGCTCGGATGTTGTCGAAACCGACGTTGGGAGCTCGATGCTTCCAGAAACTATTGTGAAGGGCTTCTTGGGTGCGTTTTAGGGCAGAAGAGAGGGATCATTTGCTGGACTGCAAAACGGTTTGTAGTCAAGCAAATGTTGAGTTGCTTTTGAGTTCTTGTTGGGTGCTTTTTTAAGGCGACGTTCGGGGTGCGCTGCTTCTCGAGGTTTTGCTGGAAGGCTTCTCGGGGTATCCTGGGGCAGATGGGTGGGTAGGATTTGATTGACTACATAACTACAAAACGGTTTGTAATCAAGCAAATGTTCAGCTACTTTCGAGGCATTGTTGGACGCTTCGAAGGTCATGTTCTGGGGGGATTCCTAGGGCCTGGGGCAGATGGGGGGCTGGAACTTGTTTGACTACAAAACGTTTTGTAGTCAAGCACATTTGGAATTACTTTTGGGTTATCAGTGGGTGCCTTTCCAAGCGACGTTGGGAGCTCGCTGCTTCTGGAGGGTTTCGGGGGTGTATCCTGGGGAAGATGGTGGGTGATAATTTGCTTGACTGCAAAAGGGTTTGAAGCCAAGCATTTTCGGGCACGTCCGTCAAATGCTGGATGAGTGAGGTTGGATGAATTCGGCACCAGATGAGTGAGGGCACCGGATTAATTACTGGGCGGATGAGTTCGGATACCGGAAGAGTCAGGGCATCGGATGATACAGGGCACCAAATGAACTCGTAAACGGATGAATTTGCAACCAGATGAGTCAGGGCACTGGAAACTGTGTGGCACAGGATCAGTGAGGACACCGGGTGAATTAGAGCATCGGATGAGTTAGGCATCCGGATGAACTAATGACTGGATGAATTTGGCACCGATTGAATCAAGCACAGGGCACAGCATGAGTTTTTCACCGGGTGAAGCGGATCATGTTGGCACCGGATGAGCTAGGGCATCAGATGAGCTAGCTACCGGATGAGTTTGACCGGATGAGGTAGGTCATGAATGATTTAGTCAGGCACCGGATGAATAAATTACTTGATGAGTTTGACCGCATGAATTAGCCACCGGATAAATTAGACCAGATGAGATAGGCATCGGATGAATTACACTGGATGAGTTTGACACCGGATGAGTTAGGCGCGGATGATTTAGGCATCGGATGACTTTGACCAGATGAATTTGACCGGATGAATTAAGCACGGGATGAATCAATCTGGTTTCGTCAGGACGCACCAGGCACGTCGATTCGCGCGCCAGAGCGGCATTCTGGTAATATTGAAGATTCTCAAACGGTTGTCTTCCGATGGAACACTTCCCGCACTGCTGATAAGCTGGGGCTTCTGGATGGGGAACCTGGAGTGCGGGTTTACTGTAACATCGTGGATGCGGTTTGGGTCTGCTCTGGTCCTACTCCTCCGGCGGTCCAAAGGGCCCGCGCTTCGCCACGCACCACTCGGAACGTGCCCCCGAGCGCGCCGCCGGCAGCTCGCCCCCTGCCGCCACCACCTCGCCCACCTCCTCTCCCTCCGTGCTGGGCCATGCCCCAGCTTCTCCCGAGCCCCCTGGGGCCCTGTGGGGATACCCGGGGGGCGCCCGGGGGGCCAAGGTTATGTTGTGTGAGGACCACGTCCCCGGGAATCCTTTCGAGCGCCCGGAAAAGTGTCAAAAGGGTGTCGAAGCGGTGTCGAAGCAGTGTCCGGCGAGTGCCTCCCGGGGCCCGACGCGTGAAAGCCCTCGAGTCTCGGCACTCGTTTCTTGTGCTCGATGTGCTTTCTGGTGATCAAGGCCAGAGTAGGCTAGAACATCGTAAGGCCAGAGGCACCTCTGGCAACACCCGACCGTAGCCACCTTGGCCGGAGGCCTGGTAGGCCTGGCTTTAAGTCGGGTGTGTCCCCCTACAGGGGGATTCTCGACGAAAAATAAGAAATACTCAAACAATACCACAAAGTGGTCAAACAACGCCCCAAAAATAGTCCCCAAGCTATTTTGTTTTATTACTATATTTGAATATCCCCCCTGTAGAGGGACAGGCCCGACTTCGGGGATCTTCTGACCCGGGTCAATCCAGACCCGGGTCAGCAGGAAACCGAAAAACTGCAATGCAAAAAAAAAACTGCAACTCAGGTCTTCGCAAATCCAGGTCAGCCAATATGCGCGGCCGCCTCGCAGCCACGAGCGGCTCGCTAAGCCGGGTCAGCCAGAAAGGGTCTTCGCAAGATCCTGCAGGATCCGGTGCCCTGGCTGACCCCCGTTTGCATTGACCCCCGTCTCTTGAGCCCCGACGACTTAAGCCTGGCTGTTTGACGCAGGGGGCCTGCCACGCGGAGGGGCGCGCCCGGGACCAGCGACTCTGGGCCACTGCACCCTGACTCCGGATCCGCCCTACTTTGGGGAAATTCGTAAGTAGGGCTTGGAATTTCCGCCTTACTTTTCAAGCCCCGCTGATGCCGATTTCCGCCCTGCTTTTCTGTTGCTGTTTCCGCCCTGCTTCTGTGGACTTCCGCCCTGCTTTCTGTTGGGTGCAGACATCTCCGCCCTGCTTTTTCGGCTCCTGATGGGTGGATTTCCGACGCAATTCCTAAGTTGGGAAAAAAAGCCAAAGTAGGGCGGAGCTGGAGTCAGGGAGGATGAGGAGGAGGAGGAGGAGGAGGAGGAGGAGGAGGAGGAGGAGGGAGGAGGAGGAGGAGGAGGAGGAGGAGGAGGGAGGAGGAGGAGGGAGGAGGAGGAGGGAGGAGGAGGAGGAGGGAGGAGGAGGAGGAGGAGGGAGGAGGAGGGCGGAGCTGGAGTCAGGCTGGGGCCTCCACAACGCGCCGCTCGTGCCCCGTGGTCGCCAGGCCCTCCGACGGCGCAGGTGAGGTCAAGCCGGGCCTGTCCTCCTGCAGAGGGATCCTTGGACGAAAGACCAAACAAAAACGTCAGATGGTCAAGAAATGCTCAAAACGTCGTCCCCCGACCATTGTTTGGCTACTCGTGAATATTCCCCCTGTACAGAGGGACAGGCCCGACTTCTAAAGGCAAGGACCTTCCGGCTGCCAGCCGTGGGCGCGTCTTGGCCCCGGCGGTGCTGCTGCGGGCCCTCGGCCGCGACTGCGGCCCACGCCCGTGGTCACTGGGCCCTGGAGAGCCTCTCGGTCAGGCTCGGGCGGCCCTGCGTACGAGACGAAAACATGCGCGTGCCCGCCTCCGGTGGTCACCCTGTGAGCGAGTAGGCCCTCCCGCAAGATGCGGCCCACAGCGGCAGCACGAAGCTCCGCCACCAGCGGCGGGGGCAGACGACCGGACGGCTTTTGCAGCAGCAGCACCATGCTGCGCCGCTGCCCGCCACTACCGCGGCAGGGGTCGCAGAGGCTGCCTCACCAATCATCTTTCACACGAGCCACCCCAACACGTAGCGTTAGGTCGGGCATGTCCCC